ATTTGACATCTGTTTCTGTGACGTATTTAAAGAGTTCGAATGGTTATGGCTGTCTGTCTGTCCGTCTGTCTGTCCGTCATTCTCTCTCTCTCTCTCTCTCTCTCTCTCTCTCTCTCTCTCTCTCTCTCTCTCTCTCTCTCTCTCTCTCTCTCTCTCTCTCTCTCTCTCTCTCTCTCTCTCTCTCTCTCTCTCTCTCTCTCTCTCTCTCTCTCTCTCTCTCTCTCTCTCTCTCTCTCTCTCTCTCTCTCTCTCTCTCTCTGCCCAAATAGCTCACTAAGTCAGAAGTATGAACCATAACCTACATTTATTATACCTTTAAAAACCACCAGGTCGGTGTGAAGCACAATAATGTTACCAACAAAACTAGGATAATCGTCTTTATCTCGAATCAGACGATTCAGACAGGTGTGCGGACACACGACAATCTGTAGTTTTGACCTTCAATGTGCATATTTTTTCATATTTTGCCCCACTTGTTTGGAATAGGCTTCCAAAAACTATCAGAGAAGCAGAAAATCTAGAAAATTTTAAGAAGAAACTAAAAGCAATTCTATTTTCATCATATTTCGATTAGACAGAATCCATCTAAGCTGTAGATCGTTGTGAGTTTGTATGTGCGTAGGTGCATATGTACGTATGTGTGTATGTGTGTATGTTTGTGTGTATGTGTGTGTGGTGCGTGCGGGCGTGAATATGTGTGTGCACGAGTGTGTAACTGTGACACTATATGCCTTTAAAATTGATTTGTAAATCCATAATATGTATCATGTTAAGCGCATAGAGTATTGCATAAGTGGATATGCGCTATATAAATGCATCCATTATTATTATTATTATGTCAAGACAGTGTAGGAACACATCGGTGTCGAAAGCTATCCACCTATGTCAGTTGGATTACTTTTTATACCAGAGACAAAAAAAACCCCACTTTATTGTTGTGTTATTCCTATCAGAAATCATGAAAAGCAAGAAAATGGTACGCCTTGGCGTACGGTGGTTGGTGGGTGCTCTGGTGTGGTTTGCTCCTTCTTTCCTAGTAAACAACTATTGTTCTTTTCTCCCCTCTTTCTTTTTTGTGCTTTTTACTCTCTTGTCTAATCTTCGGCATTTATATGACCTGACTGTTTTGCAAGTGCCGTGAAACTCTAACTAAACTTATGCCTTGACCGCATAGAATTAAAATGAATTTTGATGATGTTGAAATGTGCTTTTTAGGTAGAGATTTGGGTGGGTGTTAGGATCGGAAATTTCCAAAATTTGAACTTCAGTGGATTGCCTGCGACAGCGACAACATGTAGCAGAGATACGTGAATAGGTTGGTTCTGTAAAGTCATTTCGGAAGAAAAATAGAAGACTTGTGCGATGTTTGTTACAAAAAAAATAAATAAAAGAAACCCCAACAAAAAACCTGCACCCAAAATCAAAACAAGGCTCTCATCTGAAAAGTTGCAAGCTGCATCGACCTAGATATGGCAACCTTCTCACTGTCAGAATTAATTAATTGGTCTCATTGGCCATTGCAGAAGTCACAAGTATTCTTTGTCTTGATTGCTTAATGTTCAGTAAATTTAAGAAACATTTACACACAGACACACACACACACACACACAAACACACACACACACACACACACACACACACACACACACACACACACACACACACACACACACACACACACACACACAAACACAAAAACACAAACCCAGAAAAAACCCAGAAGAAACAAAAACACAAAAAACAATTAAACACAAGGAACAATCTCCCCGCCCCTGACCACCCCCCCCCCCCCCCAACGCACACACGCACGCGCGCGCACAAACAAATAACATACAAAACAGAAAGAAACAAATTATTTAATAAGCAAAAAAAACACAAACAATTTAATAAACAAAACAAAGCAACAACAAAAAAGAAAAGGATAGTATTATGATGCTTGGGGGCATTAGTCGACTGAGAATCTCTTTAAAAAACTGTTCAAGTCTTGATATGGGTTGGCAGTCTTGGTTTATCGATCTAAGGCTTAATGAAGGTCATTATCGTGAGGGAACGAATCTTGTGTTTGCTAATGAGGTCGATGAGACATTATGACATCATAAAGCTGCAATTAGAGGGTATATCGATCTTTGCTTTGGAATACACCCACAAATACAGAGGCTCTCGTAGCCTAGAAGTTAAAGTGTTCGCACCTCATTCAATATGTCCTGGGTTCGAATCCGGTTAGCGGTGGAAAATGTTGTTATCTAAAAACTGTCTCCTATTACCCAACATCCTTTTCTTCTCTCTAACAATGTTTTGTCGTCTGCTTTCGTCTCCACTTTCCGCCCCTACCCGCTCATCTCCTTCAGCCCCCTCCTCTGGGCTCCTGACTCTTTCTGCTGCCTTAATTCTACTGCTTCTCCTTGGCTCCTTCTTACTACTGTCTTTCAGCCACACCTCTGTTCTTATGGTCCAATATCGATAAGAGTAGGCTTCGGCGGCCACCAGGGCAAAATTAAAAAATTCCCATAAACTGAAAATGTTCAGTGTGTCCCGCGCAATCATATGACCTTAAGCAGTTGCGAGCGCCGTAAAAGACTGACAAAAAGACCCTCAACAACAACAACACACACACACACACACACACACACACACACA